CATCTCTTGTCTCTGGAAGCTCGTCTTCCTCTTCACAGTCCCTGTGATTTGGCTTCTCATTTCTTACCAGAGAAAAGATTAGTTTGTTGTGAGCTCGGTTGTGTCTTTTTCCTGGACAAGAAAACACTTCAGATTATGAGGTCGAGATGTTTGTTTATTAAGACTGCTCTTTTCCAGTTGTGGGCTTCTCAGTTCAACTGTTTGTTAATGAGTTCTTTACGACTAAAGTTCCGTAGCAGCTGAATCAGATCTGAAATGCTCATACGTGCTTGAATGGAAAAAGCTATGCAGTAAAAATACTTCTGTGACATTGAAAAAAGAAAATTGGCCATGTTGTTCATCCAGCGATTTAGACACTGAAATATCTTTAAGGTCTGCAATTTAATCTACCTTGCTTCACATCTGACACTAAACATACATTTTTATAAGCAGAGGAAGTGGCTTTGAAAGTAAAGCACCGTTGTATCTCCTTTCTTCCGCAAGATGAACATTATTTCATTAAAGACTGAGAAAATACGTTTCCATTATAGCTGTTATTATCTCATTTAAGTCATTTATGAGTGTTAGATTACTGAGCCGGGGCCAGTGCAAGATTTAGCTCACGTTCTGGCAGTCATGTCAGAACTTCAGGCTGAGATTCTGCTGCGGTAGTTTAATTAAAAAACGAGTAGAACCCCTGTGCTGGCTTACGCTCTTAGCTGCCTCAGCGACTTGAGGTTCTCAGTGTCACTGTGGTTCTGTTGCGGTGATCAGCTCAGTAACATCGTGGTTCAGAGTCTGACCGAAGCTCTTTTGAGGGAAAAAAGCTTTGCTTTTGAGATTTCGGTGCTGATGTGCAAACTCTGCCCTAGTGGCAGGAAATACGCGTGCGACACATGAGCTGCGTGAGGGTAACGCCTCGTCTGCGCCGCTTGTAGAGTTGTACCCGATTAAATGATGGCTGGTTCTGAAATCAGAGAATAAGCAAGTCCGTCAGGACAAAATTTAGTCGTTGTCTCGAGGGTAGGAGCATCAGTTGACGCTCCCATCAGGTATGGCAGAAGGAAAAATGGCTGGGATGTGTTTACATCCCTGTCATTCCCTCCTCCTCATCTTTTAAGTACTGAATAACATCAGGAAGCCATGATTTTAGATTATGCAGCTTTCCTTCTCAATTCTAACTCCAGACGTTAGCTGAATACATTAAGGTGATGAGCCACCGGTCAATTAAGAGCTTTTTAATGAAGGGGAAGAGTTAACAAGCCATCAGCATCTTCCTACTTGTAGAAACAGCTGTTGGACAAGCACGATCTCACGACTCTGAAATTTCTAAGTGGCATTAAAACTGTCAGATAACGCCAAAGAGTGCCACACAGACAAATTCCATCGTAATGCTGATTTTATGGGCCATAATAATACAAGTTTCACTTTAACACAAAAGTTTTCATAACTGCTAATGATTCGAGTTGCTTGATTTTTATAAGCCACACAAGTTACTGGAAGGTTTGCTCACCTCCTGATCAGGGCCAGCCTCTTTGAAAGTTACAGCTAAATAAAAAAGGTAAGCCCTGAAGGGTTATGAGTATTCAGATACAAGCTTTTAATACACGTACAAACAAAAAATATTTCATTAAAATGTAAAACTGACATTTGCTTATTATACTTTGGGTTCGAATTCCGGTTTTGCTGTCATTCAGTTGATAAATTGTGTTAAACATCTGAGATATGAGAAATATTTGTGATTAGAGACGAGTTGAGGTCATTCCCCTTTTTTGGAGAGGGGGGAGAAAAAAAGCAAAGCCGGCCTGCAGGAATAATTTTACTACCGACGTGATTTCAAACATGGATGGCCTGGATACTGTTATTATCAAAGCTGTCTTGTGAAAGCTGAAGCCTCCTACTCCCCCCGAGTCATCCCTTCTTTAAGCGTGAAGCTGGTTTTCGCCAGCAAATCTGAATATGTGGAGAAATTCTGATGAGTTTGGTACAGGCTGTGATTTCACAATTTGATTTTGCACATGTCTATAAAACGCCTTTGGGAAACGGGCGCGTGCTCTGTGTGATAAGGGACGTGGTATCCTATGAGACAGGAAAAACCAGAGCGAGAGCAGAGGAACCAGAAGGGAAGGCTTCCGTCTATTTGAATAAAACACTCATTTCTGTATATGATTTAATTACTGAGGGTCTCTGAGCTGAGTATTCCAAGTTCAAGGAGAATTCTGGCATCGCAGTTCGCAAGAAAGATGTTGAATCCGCCACGTCTCAGTCATTTAAAAAAAAATAAATCATATATTCAGTTGATTATTTTTTATTATGTCTGACAATGAGGTACTTAGAACAGATTTGTAATCTGCTGGGAGCGTACTTAGGTTACTGGGATTTTCTTCACATTGTAGTTTATTTATAATGCTCCGAAAATTCTGGCTGAAGTTGTTTATCCTCAGTCAAAAGTGAAAGAAGACAAGTGAGGTTGGAGCTTCTGGGATTCAGTAACGCCGAATATTCCTCACAAATCCCTAGAATTGCGAGCAGAGTTTTTAAATGAAATGGTTGTCAAAGACTTGTAGTACGCTCTCGCTGCATGTGTATTGGGGAAACCTCACCTCTCAGGGGTGGGTGCACGGAAAGAGATGACAGGATGAGGTGCAAAGGACTCTGGCTGCACGGTTTTCTCCCTTTTCTTGTAAAAAAAGTGTCCTTAAATGACAGTTTGTTAACAGTTTGTCTTCACCAGCTGGCAAACTAGTGAAGACCAATGTGCCAGCTTCTGTGCTATTGAGAATGCAACTAAAAATCTGTATGTGAGGAAAACAAAATATTCCGGGAGATTACTGAATCGAGTGGAAAAGCCCGCAGATCAGAAATCATGGTTTTTTGAGCATGGTAAGACTCCAGAAAGCTGCTGCGCTTGACTGCTGAGACGATTTTGTCAAAATGGATTTGAATTTGGAATGCACTCAAGTTGCTGACACAGGAGTACTGACAAAAATGCTTTTTGAAGACCTTGAAAGAATGAGGGAAGGAGAAACTACTGGTGACCTACTGAAAAAATCAGAGTTGACAAAGCCAGGAGAGAAAATAGAAGTGTGAGTCCTGAGTGCTGAGCTTTTAAACACAGCGCTGAAGCTTCTCAGTGTTTCATGGAAGCAACTCTGGGGGTTTTCTGGGTGAATTTGTGTACGAAGCAGCTGAATCGCTGCCTCACGTCTTATTTGTGTGTTGAAGTTTGCTTTAGGTGAGAATGTGCAAGTCTGCGAGAAACTTCTGAACTAAGAGAAGCTTGGATTTTCCAAGGCAATTAAATGAAGCATCAAGATCTCATTGCGTTCTGCCGAGTTTTTAATTTTATTCCTCAAGTATTCATGATCCAGCGCTGTTATTTCAGAGCGAGAACATACACGGCAAGAGATGAATAGAAGCACCTGTGCAGGGAGTTAGTCGTGAAGAATTAATTCCTGATAACTCTTGGTGTAGACAAGAAGTTTGTGTTCCGCGTGGTGGTGGATATTTGGGTGTATGTAACATGTAATTTAATTTTGAGATAACGACAAGTGTGAATCAAGGAGATGAGAATCTATTTTGAAAGCGCTTCTTGCATCTTCTGAGGTGGACACGAGTGGAATATTGGCATGTTCTTAGCTACAGCCTGACCCACCAGCAATAACGGAGACTTCAACAGTTTTAGCCTGTTATGTTACTCTGTGTGAAGAAAAAACAAGCAGTGCTTGATTCATCCCTAATAAAACAGAAGCTGTTAGATGTTCATTTGTTGCATCGTTCTCGCTTAACCTCTAAAAAGTATAAAACCAGGTGATGGCCAGTTTGGCATGGTAACTTCTTGTAGAAATAGTAAAGCATTAAAAAAGAAAAGTGAGGAAGAAGAGGGTAAAACGTGTGTCCTGTTGAGGGCAAAGATGCTTTTCCCATGAATTTCCCCCTTAGCCCTGCGGCGTGCTTAGAAAGATGCTCTGTTTTCTTAACAGCCTAAGTCGTGCAAAATGTGCTGAAGCTTGCCGAGAGGAATTTAAAGGGAAATATTTCTGTCTTGGCACGCGGCGTGGTTGTAAGAAGCGTCGTTTTGATGGCACCCATCTGTCGCCGATGAAAATAGGTTGGGAGCGGGGATTGTGAAGCGAGTCGGTACGAGCGCGATAAGTAGGGTGACCGAAATAAACGCGCGCAAACGGATTGGGCGACGGGAATAAATTGCTTTGCCAATCAGCGTCAGTAAGCTGGAAGTGGGAGGCTTCAAGGGTAGTCTCACGATGTGGAAGAATGGTTTTCACCCGGTGTTTCTGACGGGGAGGTGGAATTAGATGAGAGGCATCGCCACGGACACCGAGTCCTGGTCCCTCATGTGCCTGCCCTCCCCGACCCCTCTGGTTGCAAACCAGGCTTTTAGGGTTTATTTACCTGCTTTTTGAAACTCAGGCCTGTTCTGCTTCTTGATTTGAAGTTGTTACTGTCTCTGCGCCCCTTCCCAAATCCTTCTTCTGTTTCATCGTTGCTTCTGTCGCACGACTTTGGATTTATTCCTGCAGCTGCATTAGGAACTGGTTTCCCTGCGTTGTAGGTTCCCGTGGGGGTGAACATCATGGTCTGGGCTGGTTTTGATTAGCTCATGTAATTTCACGTCGTTATATGTGTATATATATATGTATATAAATAGATATGTAACCCCCCCGAAAACTAGAGCAAGTTGATGCTTTTATTTTATTCTTGCTAATACCAGTTACTGTGATTTCTGGGGTTTTGTTTATTTTTTTTTTTTACCCCTTCAGTTCTTGTTAAATTTGTAACTTCAGCAATTATTGCAGTATTTTGCTCACCCTGCGAGGTCTGCGATTCTTCTGTGCCAGTATTGCCTTGCTGAAGAATGTGTATGCTAATCAATGCAGATAGAATGCTAAGTCAGTGTTCGTGACAGTTTTATTCTCCTGCAGCGTAAAATGGGGATGAAGTTGTGCTCTCTTTGAAGCAGGAGCTGACTGGAGACTTCTTTTCTTCTTATCTTTTTACAGTCTGACAGCAATGCAAGCTTCCTCCGAGCTGCCCGAGCCGGCAATCTGGACAAAGTAGTGGAATACCTGAAAAGTGGAATAGACATTAACACATGTAATCAGGTAAGACATTTGAAAGACAGAAGTTTGCAAGAGCGAGTTGCAAGAAACCTCCCTCAAAAGCTGTTTTTTTCAGGCTAAGTTACTTCATACAGATGTTTTGATTCCCTTCAAGCTGTGTTTTCAGTCTTGCTCTTCGGTGATATCTTTCTGCAGGAAGCTGATAACGTCTGTAATATGTTGCTGCTTTAGGTAAAGCTCTGAATAAGCCTTTTTGGGCTCCTGTTCCCTGCCACTGCCTCGCAGGTACAAATATGTGTTGGCAAAGTAATTAAAATCAAAACTTAAGGTGTGCTTTGGTGATCTTACACTAATGGACCTGCTGTTGTGAAGTTCCAGTTCTTACTCAGTCTAGTTGTACTCTTCAAAATATTCAGGATGCAAATTCAATACACATAGAAAAAAATAAGGGAGGAAGTTGTGATCATAGAATCACAGAATGATGTCGTATCCTTTGGATACAGGGAAATAACCACGATAAAATGTGTCTGGAGATCAGGTTGAAGGTTCTTCTTCTGGTTGGTTTCTCTGGAGAAATCTGAGATGTCCTGAGGCACCTGCGGCCAACAAACCCACCTCACGACCCCTCTGCTTGGTTTCGTGTCGCTGGGAAGGAGTGGGATGGAGCGCTCTGTCCCGACAGGAGACGCGTTCCCCAGTTTTCTTTTCCACGCCAAGAGGCAGTCTTGTATCTGTCTGGAGAAGTGAGGTGGTGCCAACACTCCAAATGGAGTTGCAAAATGTTTTGCAGGCACCTGAAGTTCCTTGTAAAGATACGTTTTATTTTTTTCCTACTCTGGGTATTGTGTTTAAGCCCTGTAGCATGGGGACATTTTTAGAGTCTGCGGTTTGTGTCACACCTGAAGCAGTTCTCTGCAAGGATGCACGCCCCGTTATTTGATAGTAATAGCAATAACTTTTTAAAAAAAGTCTAGATTTGTAACCAACTTTTTACTGTTCTTAAAGAAATTATCCTGTCTCTATTTACAATACACGTTTCTCCGAAAAGAGTCTGTGTTTTCAGTATTATGCTTGTTTTTCAGAGCATCTTATCACTCGACTTGGTTATTAAATTAATGCGGATGCTGGGGGAATGGGATAGCAAGTGACTAATTCGTCCCGAACAGAACAGATGTTAGCAAAATAAGCAGGTGGATTTGCACAGTATCTGTGTATTTTATCAATACTAACATGCTGTATTTTATTAATAATAAATTGAATAAAATTTATTATTAATAAATTTAATAAAAGTTTATAATTCTTGTAAGAAAGAGCTTTGTAGTGTTTTAACCAGCCTCTTTTGCATTTCTGGTGCACCTTTGACTTCAGTAGTTCTGTTCTAACGAAGACTTTCTTGAGCTCTCCGTTTCCCTAAAGCCTACCTTGGCCTTCATAAAATTTTTACAAGGAATTTTTGATGCATGACCTTGTCGGTCTTCAGTGGGTTGTAAACCACTTCTTCATTTTGAAGTTCAAGGGCAGCAGGAGGCGGTTTAGCGCTCGGCACTGCCTGTCTCCTCCCTCAGGAGCTGTTTCACCAAGATCAAACCTGATCTTGGGCAGCTGGAAGAGCACCGGGCGGTCTGGGCGTTACAGAAACCTTCTCATAGTGCTTCATCACATTGAAGACACCATGGTCACCCGGCTGATTTTTCTCAGCCGTCCCATGCCAAGCACCTGATCCCCGGAAGTCTGAGGTTTCCCTTGCTATTTCAGTGAGATCTCAGCCGTTAAGTAAATGTTCAGGGGGTGGTATTTTTAGCCGACTAGCTAATTTGCGTCCAAGCAGATTAAAATCTCGGAGCTCGCTTGCGTTAGCAATGCAGTGCTGGTTACCCTCTGGCAGTTAGAAAGTAGCCGTGGTTTTGGTTTCAGAAAACTCTCAACTTAAATAGGTTTTTATCCCTGGTCAGTCTTAACTAGAACAGAAATTGTTTTGCCTAGTGTTACTGAAAGTACTTACATTTTCTCTACCTCGTCTTTCAGGGAGGTTATTACTCCTGTAAAAATAAACTGTTAAAGTTACGCCATTGATGTGGCTGTAAAGTGATAGAATGTTTTAGCTTGGCTCTTTTATAAGTCTATCGTATAAATCCAATTACTTCTGCTTTGTAGCCTAGGGACCTACATTTGCAAAGCTTATTTAAGCGACTAGCACCATCAAATTTAGCAGGACCGTAACCGTAACTTAAAACACGTATGCAAGGAAGCGTCTCTATTGGTCCTGAGAGATGTGTTGACGTTCTGGTGAAATCAGTGGCACTTCTTTGAAGGGCCATTTGAAAACTGGGGATATGTGGGGTCCCACTTGTCCCTAACTCTGAGCCAGTTGGGCTCAAGGCAACCACAGCCTGGGAGCAGCTCAGGGGATGCTCGGAGCAGCACCCGCTCTCCTCCCTGCGTTTCTTGGGGTGCGCCCGTATAGCTGAGCAAACCTTGAGCCTGGTGGCCGTGAGCTACGTCATGGCTTAAAAACCAAACAAACACAAATCCCTCTTCTTTAATAGCCTGTGGTGTAGAATTCGTGTTATTTCAGGAACATTAGTTCTAATTTAAGTCTTAATTTAATTGAAATCTGCAGGTAAGTGCTAGTCTGAAGATGGCTGTTTTCCTCAGCTGGAGTTTGTGTTATCCAAGTGTTATCTATACCACCAAGAAAGCCTCCCTAAAATTCCTTGCTACTTTTCTGATATGTATATGGTGACACTCAGTCAAGGAAAAATGTCAAAACTAAATTAAAACCCCCACAATTGCAGCTGCTATTTATTTTTTGAAAGAATAAGAAATGAAATAATCTAAAATATTTTTCATTTCCCCAGGTAGAAGCGAGTAAATCCAGCCCCAAGTTATTATATTCATAGAGACCCAGAAATTTTGTTGTCTTGTGGAAACATTACGAAGTGTTTTTTTTTTCTCTTGCCTTGAGAGGAATACAATGAGGGTTGGTGCCGATGTCTTTTCTGTGGAAGGTGCTTCCCATCTGCAGGGGCCTGGCAAAGCTCCTTTTGCACCGTACGGTGAAATCAGAGTCAGGAGAATGCAAATATCAGCGGAGATGCTGTGTAATTTCTTAGTGGCTTCGAGTAACTGAAGGCTTCGTGCATGATAGGTGGCAGCGGGTTTGAACTGTGACTGAGATCAAAGCTGGACTTAAAGCTGCGCTAATCGGGGTAATAAAAGCGGTTGATGAATGTGCAAAACAGAGAAGTCCCATATTAACGTGTTTTAATTCACTGGTCTGTTGTGAATTTTATCAGGAGTGGGAGCAGACTCCTCTTCTGGAGGTTAGGAAAG